CAGTTCATCAATTTTATAGCTATTGGGTACGATTTCAAGCTGCCAATTTGATTAAAACATGTCGGTGGCTATATAAAGAAAAGACAGTAATTATCTTATTATGAAAATTGTTTTTTTGTTACCATTATGGGCATTGGTTTTTCTTGTTTAAGATCAATTCGCTTTTAAACATTTTAAGTTGACTTATTAATTAGTATTTAAAACCATGTTTGTAAAGTTTAAGTAATATGGTGTTTGGTATCATTAATATTCGAATACATTATAATTATAATGTTTTAAATTTAAAAAGTAATAAGATAAAATTTATTTTGTAATATATTTATAAGTTCCTAATAATTTTTTTCTTGTAATAATTTTTTTTCTTTTTTAAGGTAACAAAATGTTTATTTATTTATAAATTGAAATGGAACTTAAATAATTCATAACTATCACTTTTTGAAGCAAGATTAAGGGGAAAAAAAAGATAATTTTTCACTATATAATAAGTATGTGAATTTGTTAATCATTCATAATCACTTATTTTATTACGATTAAACGATCTTTATTTATTTTTAAAGGCAATAATGTAAACTTTGAATTGTAAATACATATGGTATTTTAACTTATAGAGTGATAAAATAATTAGTGTTTTTTAGCATCATGAATAAATGCATATAATAATCTTTAATCGTAATAAATACCTTCTAACAATCACATAAATTGCCCACATAATTTGCAGTTCCGTTGAAATGCAGGATTTGGTAAATAGCTACTTACTGTCTTACTTAAGTCAATTTTAAAAAAAAAACCTTGTGAAGAGAAGCGATTAAGGAAGAGTGCCAACCCCAACTGCATATTTAACCCCTCCAACGGAATCTATCTTTTAGTTGGTAATCATTTTTTTTCCTTTTTTAAGGTAACAAAATGTTTATTTATTTATAAATTGAAATGGTATTTAAATAATTCATAACTATCACCATTTTGAAGCAAGATTAAAAAAAAAAAAAGATAATTTTTTACTATATAATAAGTATGTGAATTTGTTAATCATTCATAATCACTTATTTTATTACGATTAAACGAGCTTTATTTTTTTTAAAAGGTAATAATGTAACTTTTGAATTGTAAATACATATAGTATTTTAACTTATAGAGTGATGAAATACTTAATGTTTTTTAGCATCATGAATAAATACACATAATAATCTTTAATCGTAATTAATTCCTTCTAACAATCACTTAAATTGCCCACATAATTTACAGTTCCGAGGAAATGGAGGATTTGGTAAATAGCTACTTACTGTCTTATTTAGTCAATGAAAAAAAAAAATTGTGAAGAGAAGCGATTCAGGAAGAGTGCCAACCCCAACTGCATATTTAACCCCTCCAACGGAATCTACCTTTTAGTTAGAAATGGACAACGAAGTGCTGAATAAGACTTGCACTTCAACTTATGTTAAAAGCTATATCAAGTGTTGTTGCTACTTACAGTAACTGTGAGTCTATAACCAGCTTAACAATCATCAACTACCAGTTACCAGTTAAAAATTCTAGTTCTAGCTAGGCGACTCATGACTACCATATTGTATGTCAATGTCACTTAGCCATGAAGAGAGGAGGAGACATGATCCACTCTTCTGGGTCAAAGAATAGATCGAAGAAGCTGTTCCCCTCAAGCAAGCCCAAATATGGAGTTATTGACTGCACAAATATCGTACAGAGACTTTGTTTTCCCCCAGCCTGCCCTGATTTTACCTTACCAATGATGTGAAGCTTTGTTTTTTGCCCTTTTCACGGCGCAGGATTGTGTTTTCATATCTTTATCGGAAAATAGCTTAGTCAGTATTTCTATAATAACATGATCAATACCCTATCTATCTTTATATTTTTATATTTTAATTTAGTTTTTAATATGTTATTTTTGCAAAATTTTCCATCCAAATCATTAAAAAAAAAAAATTCATATATTTCAGCAAAAAAAAATTATGCACAGATCAGTTGATTTTTTTTTTTTGATAGTTTAGTTAAAAAAAAATTTACTAGAAAAACGTATAAATAACTCAATTAAAATATTAAAATATAATTAATTCACTTTAAATTATAAAAACAGATTAGTTGTTTTAAATTCATTCTATAAGAACAAACTTGTGCTTACCCCTACCTTTAATGTGAAAAGAAAGGGTAGTCACATCCCAATTGCTTTGCTACAACTTGTTTTATCAATTATCGTGGCTTTGCTGCAACACGTTTTAGCAATTATCATGGCAATATTAATGCTGATTATAAAATTTGGGCATACTTTTCCAGTGAAATGTTCATTCATCACAAATGGATGGACGATAAATAATACGTGCCATTCACACCCTTATCTTTTTTCTCTCAAATATCTAACGATGTTGTGTCAAAATCTTGGTGGTTAGCTTTGGTGATCCAAGTTGAGCCTTACACAAAAGTTTCCTTCTCTTGGTCATCTTCAGCAAACATGATACATGGGACATGGATCTTTCTCTGGTTGCTGTTACCAGCTTTTGACATAAAGAAAAAAGGCAAATGCTTTAAAGCTTTTTCTTACCACATTCTCCGCTTTCTATTGAGAAAGAAGGGATTTTACTTAACCCAAGATGAAAAGGAGTTTTTATTATTGTAATAGAGATACTAGAAAGAAAGTGAGAGTTTCCTAATCTCGGTCACTTGTGTAAAGTAAATGGTCTACCAAACAAACCGAGCCCCAAATCTTTTAATATTGACTCTCTCTCTTAATATTTATAGGAGGTTCAACTACTTAGCTGATCGTCAGCTTCAGTAATAACCAGGCTAGCAAAGCTGCCATAAACTGTTTTAATAGAGTTAGATAAAAGAAAAAAAGGGATGATGATTAACGAGATAATGCACTCTCATGTGTGTACAATTGTGCATCCTGCTAGAATACAAAATGGTGTAACTCTGAAAAATCGCTATTGGCGATGGACTCTTTCCATTTCTTTGTTTTCCTGCACAAGAAGTACAAGGAGAAACAACAGGAAGCTAAGATGAATACAAGACACAAGAAGCCAATTTAGGGGACTCGAAACATTAATTACTGCATGTGAATAAAGCCAACGGCAAATCTGTTGGAGCTAATGTGGACCGCCTAATCTTGTCCACCGTCAAAATGAAGACAACAATGATCAATCCAAGTTTTGGTTGCATTTTGATTTTAATCCCATTAGTGCCAGTGAGAGTTTTTGGATTCTAAATAAAAAGATCCTGCATTGGAAATTTTGTTGAGTTAATTACCTTTTTTTTTTTTGTGTATAAAGTTATTAATTTTTTATATTTAAATGTGTCTATTTTAATTTTTTTTTATTTGAAATCACTAAAATAGAAAAAAAAATTACAACTTAGCATATTTAAATAGCAAATATTAAAATTGACACACTCAAATAAAACAATTGACAACTTTTTATACTAAAAATATAATTAACTCAATTTTTGTTAAGTGTTTATAAGTGTCTAGTTTGTAAGCTAGCTTAAATGAATGGATTGATTTGCAATAGCTATGTGGTCCAAAATAATTGCAGATTTGGAGGGCTAGTACCTATTTTTAGATCCTCCAACTGCCCCTAGAACATTATTTTTTCTCGAACACCTCTTTCGAATATTTTGAAGTACAGTTTTACGTTTTGATGGTAACTGGTGCTCTAATTTTATCTTGTTTGCCAAAAAGAAAATTACTGTATACCTGGATACTTTTTTTTGTTATTACTGCGGTAGACAGGAGTTTCCAATCTCAGTACTCTTTTTTTTTTTTTTCCTGATAATTCCAATCTTAAATATATTGATAATGAAGTCGATTGATGTTATTGCTCAGCCCCAGTAATATGGACAAAAATGTTGTGAAGGGAAATTTTCAGTTGAAAATTGAAATCCTATGAAAGTAACTGAAGAAGAACCTTTGATGGCAATTAGTCCCCATCATCAGTCCAACTTATAACATCTATTTAAGAATATTGCTGGGCCATGAAAATAATTAAGGTTATGCAAATTTGAACTCTCCATGTTAGAAGGATCCTCTTTGTGGGTTCGCCTTTACTTATCCCCAATCTTGAAATTCATATATATAGCTGCTAGTCAAATTTCAAAACGGTGGAGCAACGAACGAAGACTAAAAACTTTCAGAAATCCAATAATGACAATGTCATGATGAGTTAATATTAGGAGTTTTGGACCCTCTTGGACCACCCAAACAATAATGCTACCTCTGATAATATGGCCATGATATTACTAGCTGATTTTCCATTTTTTTTTTTCTGGCACTTGGGATCAATATTGACCTAAATGCAATTTCTGGGTTTGTTTCTTTTTTTTTTTTTTTTTCAATCAAATAGACAAGCTTGTGTATGAAATCACATGTTCATTTATGTTCTTGCTGTAGTGATCCGAAAAAAACAGAAGAAACAAATAGGTAAGGACAAAATAGGTGAAGTTGAAGCTGTCTTGTAAAACCAAAACATGAAGTTGTGCTATTTTCCGATCTAGCCCAGGAAATTAACATGGGTCACTGGCCTACTTCGCACTAACATGTTACCAAAAGCAGTTAAATAGAGTAATGGACTTATAAAAAAAAAAAAAACGAAAAAGGGTTTGTAAAGTCAATCTAACAGTAAACAGTACTACTGGAACCTTATAAATCCACCTGGATGTCTTGTAGCAAAGATGCTATTATTGTCCCCATTTCTTGGTTCTTAAATGTGAACTGTGAAAAGGAGAGAGAGATCAAACAAATGTTGGTAGCAATTATTCATCTTTACTAAACCTTAATTTATGTATCTGCAGAACCAAGCACACAGCACTTTTTGTATGAAAGAAAATTAAGGTTTGGTGAGCTGTGTATCTCTCTATCCACTGCTACATTTCTTTATTTATTTCCTTAACAACTTGTATCACATGGCATCATAAATCTCACTTACTCATCTCTCTCTCTCTCTCTCTCACTCTCTTTGTATTTTCATAAGAGAGATGTGGGATCATTGCAAGAAATCATGAGCTTCCAAAGTGTTCAACTCCATTTATGGTGGAGAATTCTTGCACTTGGACTTTTACTTCTTGTAGTTCAATCTTTTGGGCTCAACACAGATGGTGTTCTCTTGCTTTCTTTCAAGTTCTCTATCCTTAGTGACCCTCTCTCTGTGCTTCAAAGTTGGAATTACCGTGACCAGACTCCATGTTCATGGAACGGAGTTGCTTGTGGATCTCCGGGAAAAGACAATACTTACTCTCGTGTCACAGGCTTATCTCTCCCAAATTGTCAGCTCCTTGGTTCAATTCCAGCCAATCTTGGCATGATTCAACACCTCCAAAAACTTGATCTTTCCAACAATTCTCTTAATGGGTCCTTGCCCTTCTCACTTCTCAATGCAACCCAGCTTCGGTTTCTTGACTTGTCCAGTAATATGATCTCTGGTCAGTTACCAGAGACCATAGGACGGTTACAGAATCTTCAACTCCTTAACCTCTCCGATAATATCTTAGCGGGAACTTTACCTGCCAACCTCACTGCTCTCCATAGTCTAACTGTTGTTTCTTTCAAGAACAATAATTTCTTTGGTAATCTTCCTAGTGGATTTCAAACCGTCGAGGTTTTAGATCTCTCTTCTAATCTTCTCAATGGATCTCTACCTCAAGATTTTGGTGGTAGCAATCTTCACTACTTAAACATCTCTTCCAACAAGCTTTCTGGTCCAATTCCACAAGAATTCGCCAATGAAATCGCGTCTAGCACTACTATTGATCTGTCATTCAACAATCTGACAGGAGAAATCCCGGAATCTAGTCTTTTCTTGAATCAACAAGCCAGTGCTTTCGCTGGAAATCCTGATCTTTGCGGCCAGCCAACAAGAAATCCATGTCCAATTCCTTCTTCAGTATCTCCACTTCCAAATATTTCTGGACCAACGTCACCTCCTGCAATTGCTGCAATTCCAAAAATTATAGGCACTAGTCCTGGAACTACTCCTCCAGGTGAAACAGCAACGGGGTCTGGACAAGACGAAGGTGGGCTTAGGCCAGGAACCATTATAGGCATCGTAATCGGTGACATTGCAGGAGTTGCAATTCTTGGTATGGTTTTCTTCTATGTATACCACTATTTAAAGAGGAGGAGGAATGTTGCAAGAAGCATCAAGAAAGAAGCTAACGCTGCAAAGGATAGTTGGTCATCTTCATCTTCGGAGTCAAGAGGGTTCACAAGATGGGCATGTTTACGCAAAAGAGCAGAAAATGAAGTGGATTCTGATTCTACAAGCACTGACAATGAAGCAGACCCTCTCGATCACAGTCAAAGACAAACAGAGCATCATGAGCAAAACAAAGAAGGGACATTGGTGACCGTAGATAGTGAAAAAGAGCTTGAAATTGAAAGTCTACTTAAAGCATCAGCTTACATATTGGGCGCTACTGGTTCTAGTATAATGTACAAGGCAGTTCTTGAAGATGGGACTTCATTTGCAGTTCGAAGAATTGGTGAAAACCATGTAGAAAGGTTCAGAGATTTCGAGACTCAAGTCCGTGTCATAGCCAAGTTGGTGCATCCAAATCTTGTTCGAATTCGTGGGTTCTACTGGGGCGTTGATGAGAAGCTCATTATCTACGATTTTGTTCCTAATGGCAGCCTTGCCAATGCTCGTTACAGTAAGTCCTCTAAGCCCTCTATTCAAATGCTTCAACCATTGTTCATACATGCAAATAAATCCAAACCATTCATTATAGCAAAACCTCATCGACAGCATTATTTTATCTTCCAACTACTAATTCTTTCCATAATATGAGTATTTATTAGCAAATCATCACCATCTCTAATTTGCTCATTCAATGAATGAGTGCGCACATTAGCATATTGATATAAAAGTCTGCTAAGGTGAGCACTGGTCCGGAAAGCTCGACGGTGGAGCAGGTGTAACTTAACTTTTGTTTTTAATGTAACCTGTGGAAGTCAACTATGAAACTGACTGATTGTGGTCGTACTTGCCATCGTTAGCCCCCCACAGTAGTCGATACTGATATACGTTATATCTATTTCACCCGAACAGTTCTAAAAGAGTAATTTGATCATTACTTTTTCTATAGAAAATGACCCTTTCAAGTTCTGATTCTTCTAAGTTTCGGTCCTTTTTGATGTTTTAGGGAAAGCTGGCTCGTCGCCTTGTCATCTACCATGGGAGGCCCGGCTGAGGATTGCTAAAGGAGTGGCTCGTGGACTGTCATTTCTTCATGATAAGAAGCACGTGCATGGAAATTTGAAGCCTAGTAATATACTCTTGGGTTCTGATATGGAGCCTAGGATTGGAGATTTTGGGCTCGAAAGGCTTGTGACTGGCGACACGAGTTATAAAGGTGGAGGGTCGACTCGAAATTTCGGAAGCAAGAGGTCCAATGCATCGCGCGATAGCTTTCAAGACTTTGGACCTGGGCCTAGCCCAAGCCCAAGTCCGAGCTCGATTGGAGGTTTATCTCCTTATCATGCTCCGGAGTCACTCAGGAGTCTGAAGCCCAATCCGAAGTGGGATGTGTACTCGTTTGGGGTTATCTTGCTTGAGCTACTGACAGGGAAGGTTGTTGTCGTTGATGAATTGGGCCAAGGAAGCAATGGGCTGGTAGTTGAAGACAAGAACCGGGCTTTGAGGATGGCTGATGTGGCGATTCGAGCTGACGTGGAGGGTAAAGAGGATGCCTTGCTGGCTTGCTTCAAGCTAGGTTATAGCTGTGCTTCTCCTGTGCCCCAGAAGAGGCCAGCAATGAAAGAAGCCTTACAAGTGATTGAAAAATTCCCATCTTCATCTGCATCTGCATCGTACCCTTATGGTCACTAATGAATAAAAATAAAACTGGAGCACATTGTAAAGAGAGATGTATCTATCATTGACTTATAGGAGGTTCGTTTGTCTCAAGGTTTGAGTTGTAATTGGGTGATGTATCATTGGTAGATCCATATGTGTGACGCTAATTTTCACAATTTTGGACCCAGTCTCGCCCATTTTTTAATCTCTGGGTCTAGGAATTGGGATCTATACATGATTAGGTTTATTTCCACCTACATAATTTTTTATCTTGTCTTCATCTGTACTATTTTAATTCACCAATGAATCATGTTTGTTAGATGATGAGATAGTCTTGCAGCGTATTCCATAAAAATACCGGAACAGCACTGCATTACTTAGAGATTTTTTTAATTTATTATTATTATTTCTAAGGTATTCCAATCCTATTAGTTCAGACTTATCCTTCATTGTTCGACGGGATGGACAAAAAAGGTATAGTTATTTTACATATATAATGATTTCAATTCGAAATCGCTTGCTTAATAGACTAAAACTCCTTCTACTCGTATCAATTTTCTTTATTAGAGATCTGCTTTCATTATACAGCACAATAATTTACCTAACATTGTTTTATACGGACAACACTGCGACTAATAATAATAATAAAAAATAATGATCCTCTAAGGCATATGGAATTGTTTGATTGGTAGTGTTTTTTTCGCAAGATGATTAATCCTGATCAGTACTTCAGGCTAAAAAAGATATGAAATTTTTTCTATGTCTTGAGAGAGATGATTCGGACGAACTACAACTACACGTCCTCTTATTCTTACCTTCTTATGATCTCACTATCGTCTCTGCTCGCTCCAGCTTGCTCTACTATTTACGCATTTAAAGCTCAGTCATTGACTGGTGAATTGGATAGCTGTTGGGACCAGATGGGAAGAATTTACTACAATCATCTCTGCTCATCTTGAATTCTAACCTCAACCAGCCATGACAAAAAGATGAAATAATTTATTAATGAGTGACACGAAAGCATAGACTAGCTAGTGAGACACAAGACGTATGATTGTTTAACTATATATCTGAAACGAAGCCCAATCAATTCAAGTCAATAAGTCGAAATTAAAAACAAATACCATAGTTTGAAGTTGTTTGCTTCTATAGCGGTTTGGAATTGATTTTTAATATGCCAAGTCGTTCAATTGATCCAAAAACATTAAGAGGAGGGAAGCTTTCTTGAAAGCTTCGTGCTATATCAACCACATATGAAAGCAATGACGTCGGAATGTGCCATGAGCCTAGGCACTTGATGATAACCAGCCCAAAAAACTAATTTTAGGTTTTACCAGAGGTTTAGAAAGTTGACTATATATAAAATCCTAGCTAGTAGCTAGTAATAAACAATTGATGATCACATGCTACTGCATAAATAATGGGGGTTCTCTATACTGGTTTTTTCTGAACAGCAAACCAAGGGCCGAATGCCATTGATCGAAAGGCCAAATAAAGTCAATTTTTTTTTTAAAAAAAAAGGCTAGGTAGAAATGGCAGTGGAATTGGGACTGTTTAGCTTTAGATGGTAAAGTCATTTAAAGATCGAATCTCTCCCATACATGGAATGATAAGGGGAAAGGAATGTTAAAGCTTTTTTTTTTTTTTAAATAAGTTTCCATCCATGCTATTATTGATTTTTTTTTCCCCTTTCTTCCAAAAATTCAAAATCTAATTGTACTCTCGTTACATGAAGGGAAAACAAAGAAAAAAGATTTTGTTTCCATGTACCTCTAACACGTCATGTTTGGTAAAGAAAAGTAATTAATTAAATTTAATTATTACTCTCTCTCTCTCTCTCTCTTATATTAACAATTCTTATTATTTTTTTAATATATTATCTCAATTTGTTAATAAAATGCTTATTAAAATAATTGTATACAAAGTTTGAGGATTTATATTAATTTAGTTATTGCTAGATTAACGCATGCACTACGTTGCCATAAAATGAATACTAAATGATCAGCTATTCTAGTTTGTTTTCTTAAGAAGGTAAGGAAGTTGAAAGGATATGAAAGGTTTGAATTCAAAATTTTTTTTTATTAATGATAGATGATTGTTTGAAGAAGAAAACAAAACATAAATTTGTACAATGATAGATATAATGTTTTTTAACAGTAATAAGAAGAAGAGTGTATGTTGTGTGTTGCCTCTGTATCAACAATCCAAGACTTATGAAAAAAGGAACCGATGGAGGCAAGGTGACTGGTAGGTTTAAAATTGTAAGGTTGGTGATGTTCAAGCTTTCATTTTCGTGAAGAACATTGGCGAGAAAAATGACCACTTCCTCCACGGTTATGAAAGATAATTGTGCTAGTTTCTATAGGTGCAGAACTAGATGTTGGAGCACAATAGGAAGATGAACGAAAAGATCAAGAATTATCGGATGTAGGGCCACCAAATCATTGACCATAACCTTTCTGACCACAACCATAACCTTTCTAACCACGGCCACATAAATTATTGCCACCATGAGCAGAGAATTGAGCAAATGGGGTAGTAATTTTAGTCATAATTGCATTTAGTGTGAGTTGCCACTCCGCATTAAGTAACAATCCACATAGATAATCTTAGGAGACGTCAATAAGACGAGGCTCCAAAGACCGAACAAATGGCCTAAAAGGGTTGCTTCAACCACATCATCCTCTAAAACAGGACTTCCAAGAGGAGCCAGTTGATTAGAAATAACCTTTGCTTTTTGCATGTATGTTAGGATGTCATCATTGTCACGATGAAGTTGACTAAGTTGAGCCCTGAGTTGACAAACCCGAGTCTTTGAGCTAGAAGCGTAGGCAATAATCAATTTTTGCCATGCTTCTCTGGCAATAGTTGCACCAACAACAACATGACTCAAGAAAGTAGCTCTCCATTTCGAGTGGATCTTTTTCTGTTTCTCTTAATAACACATTTATCATTTGTCGGATATTCTATATGTGCATATTGCTTGTCGAAATTTGCTCTCTATTAGTTTTTTGTACAAAAGCTAATGCATATCTATTGAATTCTTTCTTGATTATTTTATTATAAAGGATATTAATACGAAAGAGATGCTTCAAATCGGGTAGAATAAGCAACTTCTATACTTCTTGCCATTACATCAAGTTTCTTCCTCTCCTGCTACCGTGCATGCCTTGTTGCAATATTATCCTCTTGGCGTGCTTGTTTGGGTCATGCTTCTATTGAGACTGTCAAGTTCTTCAAAATAATAATATCAGTATCTCTACAGTGTATTCTTTACCTCTTTTCATGTAATATTAGTAAAATTTCCAAACTTCCTTTTACTAATTCTAAATTTAAAGCACATGCACCTCTTAATTTGTTTAGACGTTTAGGGTCTGTCTCCTGTGGATTTAGGAACTAGTGCTAAGCATTATGTTTTGTTTTTTCGCCATTTTAGCAAGTATACTTGAATTTATTTTATTAACTCTAAGTTTGAATTACCAAAAAAAAAAAAAAAAAAGTATGTGAAGGTTCAATAACATCAATAAGACTTAAGCGAGCAAAGCGTAAAACACATATAAGTTATGCAAAAAAGAACCGTTTAGCTGATTACAGCCCATCGTTTCATTCATCCGAAAGGATGCAAGTATATATTTTATGTAACCAAACGGTTATATGGAATATTTGAGAACATGTTCGATAAATGTGTTTTTTTTAAAATAATAATCAAAAGCAAGTGACTAATCTTCGTTTGTTTGTTTATCGAAAGCAATATTTATTTATTTATTTATTTACATGTTAGAACATTCCTACACTTAGCTATGTGTACGGACCAATAATATAATTACTCATTATGATAAATCAAGTTTCAAAAAATGTTTTGAGAATTAAAGGTAAAAAAAGTCCGAATTGTAAGTATATGTGTATTTAATAAATTTTAAAGATATTCAAATAACAAAATAATAAAGACGTTTGGAACAAAATAAAAGATAATTCCCAGTTGTTTAGTTTAACCAATTATAATAGTTGTCCCATTTTCAATTGCATTTATTAATTGATCAACTCATGACAATTAATTAAATATATTCGATAATAAAATTTAGGTAGGCATCAAATATGTCTTGCTATATAGCTAGATTTTTTATGAGGAATTCATTTTATCCATAGCTCAAAATAGATCTTATTTGTGAAAAAGAGAATAGTAGAATAATTTATTTGAGGAGTGAAAAAAAAATTGAGAGTGAAGGATGGAGATGGAGGCTAGCTTGGTGAGATTGAAATAAAATGAAGTTATACATTAGGATTCAATAGTAATGATAGCTAGGTTTTTAGATCAATTGTGGATAAAAAAAAAAAAAAAAAAGAAGCAAAAGCTACAAGCACATAGGCAACGGAGGAAGAAAAATGATGAAAGAAATGAGAGGAAAAAAAATTGCCATACAATGGCAAAGAAATATAGAAGAAAATTCAAGATGTAGGATCATTAAATGTTTTTGAAAAGGAAATGTCCTAAGAGAACAAACAAAGCTGCAGCTAAAGGATCCAAAGATGGGGAAAAAAGTAATAGTGGTGAAGGCACTCAATTGCACAACGACAAAATACAATAAAAGAAGAGGGCAAGAAATAAAAGAGAATGAGAAAAGAGAGAGTTGTAAGTGCAAAAAAGAGTGGGTGTGTGAATAGTCATTTTGTTTTATTTTTTTAGTTAATTTTTTAAATATATGGATAATTACCATAAAAACCTTTTGAAAAAAAAATCTATCTAAAAAAACCTACCAATTTGTTTTTAAATTTTTGAAATCCAAAATAATATTTTTTTCTTACGAAAACACCTAATAATTAACCCCCAACTTAACATCAATTTTAACTATTTGTGGTTTTGGTAAGAAATATATTATTTTGGATTTGAGAGATTTAAAAATAAATTTGGTGAGTTTTTAAGATAAAATATTTTTTAAAGACTTTTCCGATAATTATCCCTAGCTAATGAAACCAATATCTTCTAGGATAAGTGTTTCTATTATGGATGTCTATCTTCTATTTAATTAATGCAT